TCCCTGTTTGTCACAGTTTTCGATTTCTCTTTTCATTCAGATTTATGGAGAAAGTTCATCCTGTGCTGGGAGAGCTCTCAGGAATATTTTTACCCTACAGGCGTCTGACCTTATTAAAGACAGGGTGTACCTTACTGGCATTTGCAGGTAACACGAGATTATTCGTTTTAATCAACTGAATGGGTTTTATTTGCATTTGTCTGTGCCCTGATTTGACAAGTGAGTAAATTCTAAGATTTTGTGTGTGTGACTAAGAATTGAAAATATTTTCTAAAAAAATTCTTTAATATCTCATGTATTTTAATATCTTTTCTTATGTTACTTAGTCAGTTGGCCTGATTGTATGTCCATTAATTTAATTGCTTATGATTTCATATACAATTGTGTTTGTTATTTTGTTGAAAATAGAGGGTATTAAATTCAGCCCTGGTCTGGAGTTATAAAAGAGATTAATTGGATTCATAAGATTTAGTTACACAGTGATTTTTTTGCATGTAATTTATGGAATATTTCTGTAATGAAGTGATTTTCCATTTGTGTTGCATTACAGCATAAATGCTTCCTTCTATTTTCAGTTATGCCAGAGTGTGCCGATCTCTATTATAGCACTATTCATTCATATCCATATTAAAGAAAAAGCCACAATTTTTTTTTTAATGATTTAAAAAGACAAGTTTACCAATAATGTGCAAGATGAAGTACCTCCTAGAGCAATACTCAAGGTCTTACACATATATCGTGTAGCTGTATTGCTTATGCCTATGCTCAGAAAGGAAATAAAATCCTAAAGCTAAAAGCTGGATTTTATTTAGCTCTTCTACATCTTTGGATGACTCTCTGTATGCAGCACAAGTTGATAAAAATATTACATATTGTAAAGTGTGCCACATGAATTAGGTATGTAAGGGAACTTCCTCATCCAACACAAGTTCCCTTGTTGTAACTAGGGGCATCCACTGAGATTTGCCAGAATAATTTATTCCCTTGAAATTAATAGAATTACAAAAATCAGTTAGTGAGACAAAGTGTTTGCTTTTACAAAAAGATTCCCTTTTAATAGCTTTAAAAAAAATAGCTCTTCTTTATACAAGAGCATTTTGACATTACTGTAGTGTAAGAAGTGATGTTTTGTTTATTTTCAGGAGAAGCTGTGTTGGATCGGAACTGGTAGACTGGCTTTTGGAGCAGTGCCCTTTTGTTAAGTGCAGGTCTACAGCAGCTGGAGTATGGCAGCTCCTCCTGGATATGGGCATTATATTATCAGGTCAGTCTTGATAGCACTCCTGTGTGAGGAAGACTATCAGTTTCTCCTGCATAGGCTAAGACTCACATTTTTGATGGGAGAGGAAGGAGAAAGCAGATTGCTCCATTTTTTCTTGAGCTGTTTATTTTACTATCTCTTCAGTAGGCTCACCTCTGTGACCTTTCATTTCATAAATATCAAAGGTGAATCTCTCTCTTTTTATTTTTTTTTTTAGGTAGCTTCCTTCCTTTTGCTTTTGCAAATGCAATTGCCTATTGCCCAGTTGCAAACAGCATGCGTGTCTTTTCCAGCTTGGTGGTTGGTTTTTTTTTCCTCCTCAAGCTCTTTTAGGTTTTTCACAAGACAGCAGCTGTTGAGTCGCTGCAGATCATGGCTTCACCAGAAGACTTCTCTAGCAATTAGTTATTTCCCCTTCCCCTCTATGTTTTTCATGGTTTTAGATTACAACGGATTGAGAGAGGATTCAGCTCGAGATGTTTGTGGTGCCAGGCTCTACGCAGCTATCCCTACCTTTCCCACCAAATTTAGGGTTTGCTCCAGTTTATGTGGTTGGCGATAATTACACCAGTAATCCACCTCTGGAAATCTGATGGACTTTATGTTTTAGCTGGGGATACTTAGGTAGCTTAACTCAGAATGTACCACACCCTGGGGTCTGTGCTAGACACTTGACTTTTGTCCTTGTGAAAAGGTGAGGTCTTACAGAAGATATCTGCTTATGTATGCTGACAGTATACTTAAAGATTTTCTTCTGCTCCAACTACACTGACAATATGTCTGATGGTGCAGCCTCAATGAGGGCTGAATGACTCTCCAGCAGGAGCTTGTGCTTTCAGCTTTGGACCTCATCCTTCAATCCCAGTTCAATCTCGGTTATGCCAGGGAAGATGACAGCTGTTGTATTGGTGCACCATTTTACTCAGGTCTGCTCTACAAAACCAGAGACCATGAATTTGAAGAGAAGCTGGGATATGATGGGCTGCATCCCCATTATTGAAGTTTGTTTACTAGTCCCTGGCCACTAGTGAGAACATATTAGAAGCCAATGGAATTTGAGAGTCAGAAATCTGACAAGTGAAAGATTTTTATCCCCTAATTCCAAACTGATTTCCAAATTGATTAAATACTCAGCGGTCCTAAAGAATCTCAGGAATCTGGAGATCTTCAAACTGAGGTTTTCGGGTTGTCCTGTTTGGATGCACTGAGTTAGTTAATATGAGAGGACAGGATTGCTTCTATGCTGAGATTGCAATCCTTTTGCCCTGTATGGTGGTAGATTAAAGTCAAGTGCAATACAGAATGTGGTTGGGGACACAGAACCTTTATGCAGTAAGGGTTTAAAGGATATCTAATGTTATTTTTTTCTAACAGTGGACAGACAACTCTATTTTCAAGACACTCATGCTTTCTACCAGTTCTCAGCGGATGAATGTACCTACCTTTTCTGTGAATTTGAGAAAGAGGAGGGATGGAAGAATGGAGTAAAGCTCCTACTTCAACTACTGCCATTGTCTCCTCCCAGGATTGACATGTGCAATCTGTAAGTGTGCAAATACAGCTGTTTTCAACTTCTGCTGACTGTTTTGTAAGTAGTTGGCTTACAATGACACCGCTTATCCCCAAACCACCCTGCAATGAGCCAGCTTTCTTTTCAGGGTTGACAAGCTTTGTAGAGATGGGCTTTTCAGCTGAGAAAGTCAGTGTGGGCAGGTAAATGAAGGCACTCAACTAGGGGGTTTTGGTGGTTCTTGCGCACTAGCTTGCTAACTCTAGGTTGCTATATTGCCTGGGCAAATGGCTTGCTTATTTTTTTGGTCTCCTCTTACATTTGGAGATTTGGCACAGATTTGGCAGCAGGCATGCTGTGAAGCTGATTGACTAGCAGATCAGGTACCCTTCTTCTGGGTCAGGATCAGCTATCGAATGGATGGAGAGAATGGGTAGGATTGTGGTAGCATCAGTCATCTGATTTTAGTTTGCTACTGCACGTTTGCACGTACAGAGCTCTCTAGCCTCACGCTATTATTCCTTTTTCAGAATATACCGTTTAAGAGTTTCACTTCCTATATGTCCCCTCTTCCATCTGACTATTGGATGTTATACCCTCTGTGCTGATACAGCTGTGCTCTAAATGTTGTCTATTTAGGGCAGCTAGAAGGAAACCATAGTTATCTGTGCCACAGTGAGAGGCCAAAATATAGGAAAAAGGTGTCAGTGAGAGATCTGGAGGCTCATGACCCCTCATACCTTGGCAAATCGGCAGGAGCTGGCTTGTATAGACCAGTTGGGTTAAATTCTTTCATTGTCCCTAGCATGATGAAACCTCAAACCTGATACTTATACTGTGGAGAATTGTTACTCTGCCAGTAGTAGGATTTATTCTCTTTGAAGTCAAAGACAAAACTTTCTTCTATAAGAACTTTCCTTCTCTACCTATTAGATTTTAAAAACACATTCTCTCAAATAAATTTCCAATGGAAATATTTTAAAGGAGCACAAAGCCTAAAATCCCTGTAAGATGTCTCAAGCCCAGTTTCTTAAATCCAGACATTTAGTCTGATTCTTAAATGTGTTGAGCTGGTATATAAAAAAAACCTCAGTAATTTCTGTGCATGGCTCAGGGCAGAAACTTGATTTGCTCTCCTTTTGCTGACTGCCTTCACTAACCAGAAATTGGCAGTTCTGGAGTGGGCATTCCCTTGAAAATGCATTTATTTGGTCAGCTTGAGTGAGTGTAGCCAAGTGACAAGGACCCCAAATTGGCTGAAGCAGGGCACCAAATGTGATCTTCTAAGCAGATGACTCATATGGGAGAAAACCTTTGAATATTTTTGCAAATAGAAATTCTTGTCTTCCAGCCTACTCTGGTGCTATGCAGTTTGGCTGTCCCTCAAATATCAGGGCATCTTCAGCGGGAATTAGGGTTTTCCTCGTTATCACTGCCAATCAGGCCACTTGTCATGGTTCATGACTACTCGTACAAAAGCTTTGAATAAAAAAGACAGAACAGATAGGACATATTGATGTGTTATGTGAAGGATGCTGGGTAGGAAAACGGATTAAAGACTTTTTAGGTTTGAGCTGAAAATGCGTCCTGCATGCTGACCTTGGCTGGAGAGTACCACTACTCTACAGTCTGCTTTGCTGTTTTATCGTTCCAGTGCAACTGTCATTTCTAGTGGAGGATGATCCCTGTCACATTAATTGAACAGTTATTCATTAATGTACATTTACAGATCCTTCCTGCTCACATTATTCAAATTTTAGTTGAAGCTGGATTCCTTTTGGGAACATTGTCACTGAAGAATTATTTTCTGGAGGGTTTACCTGTCAGATTGTGAGGGTGCTTTTTAAAAAAAAAAAAAAAAAAAAAAGGAAGGAATTGAATTTTAAATAATAGTATACTCTTGAGGGAATGCGATATTAAAGGCAAAGGAGGCTTTTCCAGGTTCAAAATTCTCCATACTTGGTGCAAATAGCACACCGCTAAAACACAATCTGAAAGGGAATAGATGTGATGAGGTATTTGTTAAAGTTATCTGACCAGATTAAATAAACCCATATGCTCTTGTTTGTGAGGAAAGTAGGTAATTCTTAAAACTCTTCCTTGCAGTGAGTGTTTGTCTTAAATATGTAAGCTGTTCTGCGTACCATTAGAAGCATAGTCTTTCTCGTAATTAATATTTTTGTTTTCATTTTTCCGCCTTAGTTTTTCTCATAGTCTGTATTGATGGCATTAATTCTGTATGTACACAGAGACAGAGAAATTCTTACTTTATTAATTAGATTCCATGCTTTTGATGGAATCAGAAGCAACTAGCTGCTTGTACACCAGAAGGCAATGCTGGGCATCTCCCGGTGCTCCTGAGTGCCAGACGAGCTCTGTCTCCTCCGCAGCTGGTGGGCAGCAGCCTTGCGCTTGCCTGGGCTGCTGGGTGCATCAGGGGGTCTCTCTGGAGCACCATGGATCTGCTCTCCCAGAAGGAATCTGCAGACCTGAGTAGGCAGTAGCAGCTCTGGGGACTTCCTTCAGCAGTTCTTCTGGAAACCCCGTTAAATAAGCATGGTCTGGTCTCAACTTTCTGTACAGATTTTTGATGGATTTGTGTTTTTTTCTGGGTGGTATTAACAGTGCTACCAAATAATACTACAGTAAGTTCTACAAAGAAAATAGTGTTCTGAAGCCTGAGACGTGCTTACGGTTCCTGAATAAATGCTCCCTGTTGCCTTTTGACCTTGACAAATTCCCTACATTAAACATAACATTGGTGGGAACCTGCCATGGAAAACAAGATAGGACCTAGCAAATTTTTAGCAGCTCACACTAAACTGAAGGCTAGTGTTATGAGGTGTATTACACAGGACTGAGCCGCTGTAAATGTTGTCAGATGAGATGGGACTGATGCAGAGGCGTCTTGGGGTCATTAAACACCCTATGTTAATCACAGCCAATTCTGCTTGAAGAGAAAAGAAGTGAATATTGCAATAGCCTGGGAACAAAAGATCTGTATTGAAAGCTGTGCCATGGACTTCCTTACAACCTTGAGCGATCACTTAGGCTCTCATCCAATGCCTGCTGAATTCTTCTCCAGTGACTGCAATAGCTTTGTATCAGGTGTTTAATCTTTATGTGTTTCTATTTCATTCTTTGTAGATGGAGGTGTTTATAACAACACCCAATTCCCAGAACCACTTGTGGACTCAGTGAATCTTTCAAGAATGCATTGGGTACCTTAGATTATTGAAATGTATCCCATAGTATTTTTTTTTTTAATTATTTGAACAGATGTTAACAGGGGATTCTTTTCTTTATCTCATATTGCTTGTTATTTTGTTTTCGGAAGTGTTAGACTATATCCTGTATCTTATATGCTGAAATAATGTACATGTTATTAATTTCAGAAAAGTAACCATTCTTAAAAATAATTTGGTTTTAATGCAAATAGCCAGGATGGGATATTCATTCAGTTACTGCATTATGGAGTTCTTGGAAAATTTTTTTGAATGCAAACATCTCTTAGGTATCCATGGGTCTTTTACTGGCACTGTAGGTGGATTGTAAAGCCAGCGTAGAGATATACGTAGTGGCTTTACATTGGACAGTTGAGGTCCAGGCCCAGGCCCACGGGTTCATCCACATTGCTTCCTCTGTCAGTGGGTCGGGAAGCACTGTAGTTGCTTTCATGTGGTGTAGGGTAATAATCGCGCTGTACCTGACTTGCCTGCATGCAGATCTAGGGCAAGCATCCCTGCATCTCGCTCTGCTGAACGCACTACCGAGCCCATGGACCACTGAGCTGTGTAGGCTTTAGGCTGGTTTGCCTGGGCTTTGGAGCTCCTGTCTGATATCAGCCCTACTAGGTCATAGCTGGCCCCTTTCGAAAAAAAAATAGGGTGATATCTGTCCTGATTCTGTTCCTCGATGTATGTTCTGTTTTATTCTTTTCTATTAGCCTGGGTATCATGATACACGCTTCCTCTCTGATTCTAGAGAGCTGACGATAATTTTTAGTATATTAATGGTTTCAGAAGTGTTTGATGCTCATATGTAGATGAATACTGGGAGTATTTTTAAATAGAAGATGAAATGATAAAGGCCCAAGACAGAAATAGCTGTGCTATATGCTGTTCTGGGTTTATAGATTGCATCTGTGGCTGTGTCTACTGAGCTGCTATCTTTTGCCTCCAATTTAGAAGAACCAGGTCCTAACCTGGTTCTGAGAGATCAGAAGAGATCAGATATGTAGAGAAACATAGGCATCTAAAGAGGTCAGTTATTTTCATCTCATTACCAACTGTAAACAGACTGAATAAATCGGTCTTTGTAAATGAAACTGCATTCGTTTATTTCTTTTGGGCTGTTTATAACACTTAAAATGTTAAATCACATTTTTCTTTGAAAAGGAAAGGCACTTGTGAAAATAATTGTGATTTCTAATCCAAATTACCATTTTGGTCTGAATATGCCCCAAAATGAATGCATGTGTCATTCTGTGCTTTCTGACCTTCATTTTTTTTAATCAGGGAAAGAAATTTTTGGACATGGGATGTAAGAACCACAATATACCAGCTGCATGTTCCAGACATGTTGTCAGCTCTCTCCCTAAACACATCAAGGCATATGAGCAATTAAATAATTTAGTCAAAGATAGAAGCTTCTGCTAATACCTGGGATTTATTTTTATTACAGCAGCTGCAGCTTTGCATATCTGCTCGGTTTGCTGGCACGCCACACTTCTTGAAAACCATGAAAAATAAAGATCTCAAGAGCTTTTTTCTTCTTCCCATAGTAATAAACCTATCATGTTGGTATCTATCTTCTGATTGTCAATAAACCTTCTGAAAGGCTTGCAGATGTTCTAGTGATGGGAATTAGGCTGTTTTAAAGAAAAATACAGTCCAATCCCATGCTGTCCACAGCAGCTTTTGTGTGGCTTTTTCATATGGGTCCGACTTCTGTGGCAGTTTCTAGAAGAGTTCTTCCTGCACTGCCTCACTTCTGCAAAGACACAAAGTACTCTATCTTGTGAGTTACTGTCAACAGAACCTGTCAATAGTGTTCTCAGCCATTGCTTGAGTTTGCTAATTTATGGCTTCTTACATGTATTCTTTTCATTTTCACTTGTTTTTACATCAAACTTAATGTGTCTCATAATGATTTTGATGTCATCTACTTTTATCTATGTGAGCTTGCCTTCCACACCTTAGCAAAGCTAAATAGTGGTGTGCAGGTGGAAAACTCTTTGCTCTGTTGATGGAGTGTGTTTTTAGCAGAGCAAAATACTCATTCAAATAAGCAGCTCTAAGTTAAGAGGGTCCTGTGTTCTTCAGTTCTTCATCATATATTTTTAGTTGAGGAATTCTCTCACTGTTTTACGTAAGTCCAATCAAGACAGTTCTTGACAGCAGGGGACAAAGGGTGTTCTCTGTCATTACTGACACAATTAATTATTGTCATATTGCAGTCATCATTTTGATGTGGAATCTCAAAAGCCCTTTTACATTAGTGCCTGTGGCTACACGGTTCCTTGCTTTCCAGGAATCAAAAGATGTTGAAACAGAATGAAAGAAATAATAAAATCTTATTTTTATTTTTTTAAAGGCCTGATCAAAAAATAGAAGATACGGCAGAAACCAATGCTGAAATTCTTGCTCGTCTTACTTCTGCGGTAAGGTCACTGCATCAAAGTTTGTACTGATCATGTTTGAAATATTGTCATGTTTTGGATCCTTTCGAATTAAAGACTTAGTCTTAGTGAGCAGGTGTGCGTAATGCAAACTACTTCTTTGTCTCTGAAAGGGGGAAGCTTTTCTGGTCTTTGTGCAATTCCACAGCTATTCAAATCAATTCAAGCAAGGACTGCTGCGGTCTGCTCTTTTTGCAGAAAGGACCTGGGGTTCCTGGTTGATAGCTGGTCAAACACGAGCTGGAAATGTGCCCTCATGGCAAAGCAAGCCAACTGCCTCCTGGGCCGCATTAGGGAGAGCGTTACCCTCAGGCTAAGGGAGCTGATCATTCCCCTCTACTCAGCACTGGTGTGACACATCTGGAATGCTGGCTTTGGTTCGGGACTCCCATTACAAGAGGCATATGGACATACTGGAGTGTATCCTGTGAATGACCATGAAGATGATCAAGGGATTAGAGTATCTGACTTAGAAGGAGAGGCTGAGAGAACTGGGAGTTGAGCTTGGAGAATAGAAGGCACAGGGAGGATCTTATCAGTGTGTATAAATACCTGATGGGAGGGAACAAAGAAGATGGAGCCAGGCTCTTCTCGGTGGCATCCTGTGACAGGACAGGAAACAACAAGCACAAACTGAATTTCAAGAAGTTCTACTGAAACATAAGAAAAAACTTTTTTCACTGTGAGGGTGATCAAATGGTAGAACAGGTTCCCCAGGGAGGTGGTGGAGTCCCCATGCTTGGAGATGTTCAGAACTCAACTGGACATGGTCCTGAGCTGACCTGCTTTTGAGCAGTGGGGTTGGATCAGATGACCTCCAGAAGTGTCTTCCTACCTCAACCATTCTATGAGTGTATGGTTTTATGAACATTACACCTAAATCATGGTATCAGCAAAACATGAAATTAGTGCTAGTTCTGTTTTGGGTACAGAGATGAAAGTGAACGAAGCAGAGTGAAGTTGTCATGAAAAAGGCATGAGGATAAGAACTACTTTACGTAAAATGAATAAAGTACTATCTTGAAATTGTTGAAAAATGGAAGGGAAGGAGAATTTGTGCTAAATTTCATAAAGACAGCTGTCGTTACAAAAGATATTTTGTAAATGTGTTTGAAAAGCTGGTGGTTCTGTATGGTCAACACCTTATGCAAAAATAATTTAAAATTGAAAGCCGGAGAGGCACTGTTTACAAGGGCACGTAGTGATAGGACAAGGGGGAATGGCTTTAAACTGTAAGAGGGCCGATTTAGATTAGATATAAGGAAGAAATTTTTTACTGTGAGGGTGGTGAGGCACTGGAACAGGTTGCCCAGAGAGGTTGTGGATGGCCCATCCCTGGAAGTGTTCAAGGCCAGGTTGGATGGGGCTTTGGGCAACCTGGTCTGGTGGAGGGTGTCCCTGCCCATGGCAGGGGGGTTGGAACTAGATGATCTTGAAGGCCCTTTCAACCCAAACCATTCCATGATTCTATGTATGAGATTAGAAAATTTTGTTTTTGAAAATTGGGGAGGGGGTGTTATGTATATATTCAAATTCCTTGTTTTATCTACCTTTTTTCCCTGACTTTGAAAATTAAAGGAGATCTAAGAATCTGTGTCCTCCATTTTTAGTTCCATGGGGAGAAAAAAACAGAAAAACAGAAAAAACTTTTTGGGAATTTATATCTTTTAAAAAACCCACAAAACTACCAACTCTATAAAACATTGCCAGGATCCCTCAAAAGCTTCACCTCTCTAAACTAGAAGAAGAATGCTTTTTTTATCAGTTAAAAGTTTAAGAACTGGATTTAACTGTTGCTGGATACACTTGAGTAAAATGCATATCCTTAAACATGTGAGTAATTGACGGAGAGTTCAGAGTGCTTCTCATCTAGCTTGCAAGGTCAAACTTTCAGCTACATTCTGAGTGTTTCCAGCAGCAGGGCACATGGACAGATTTTAATTTTTTTTAAAAATGAACCATTTTATTGCTGTAGCTAACTAGCTAAAGAAAAATTAGGCAGTTGCATCTCCAGATGGCCTGAGACCCATCTATTGCCACGTCTATTGATCTTTTCTCCTGCCTTTTCTGATTTTCCACACAACTGTGTAGGGTCTCTGTAATGATTTTCTATTCTTACTCCAGAGAAAAGACCTGATACCAAAGCAGAGTCTTCTAAGTATTAACATCGGTATATTAACTTCTCCCTCAAAAACCTCTGGAATATAATCTGGAATATTGTTTTTTCCCCCAGTAGACTGGGATCTAAAGTACTCCCTGAGAGGTTATGGAGAGCCTTTATGTGTCGCAAGGGAATTTGAATCTTCAGCTTGCACTGCTCAGCAGAGGGCTGGACTCACCCGGATACAGGTTGTCAATTTTTTTTTCCTGTCAGCTTCCAAATTTGTATGAAAACAAGAGTCCTGTGAGCAGGAGCTAGAAACCAAAGGTGAAGGTCTTAGCCACGACTTAAAATTTGTTCACACTATCTTGCTTTTTGGCTTACTGAATGTTTACATATTTTGTACAGAATGAAACCATTCTCCCTTGAAGAATTCATAATTCAGACTCGTGTTCACAATACTCTTCAGACTAGCACTTCAGAAGTGGAAAAACCCTCTTACTTCCAGCCCAGCACTGAAGCAGACAGAGATTAGAATTGGTTTTTTTGGTATGTTTCTAGATTTGGAGGCTTAAACCCCATCGGTGCTGATACTGCCACCGTCTCTTCTACTTTTCTTTTTGCTTTTTTTGTAACGGAATAAAACATTTTGTGTCAAGTCAGAAGGATGCTTCCATGTCATCTTTTCTTTTTTGGGGATTAAATTCCCAAATTTTTAAACCTAAACTGATTGTGAAGATCCAGCCCAAGCAATGTTGGAGGAATCTGTGTGCCTAAAATATAAATCACTGTTTTAGCATGTGAAAGCGCAGGAAAAACTATAAGCGTACATACACATAAGGTCTAATTATATATTTTTGTAACTCTGTATAAGCTATTGCTGTTGCAGAGGTTGAAACTCACCTCACCTAAATATTATTGGCCATATGGCAGACATCTACATCTGAGCTAGCTTCCCCAGGCACTTCTTACAGCCGGGGAGGAGGAATAGGCACTTTTAGGATGCTGAATATGATTGGCTTTGGAAGTCTGCTTTCGGGAAAGACAGTCATACCTTGGGCTCCCCTGGTAGGGTGTGCACTCTCTGTGACAGGAGCACGGAGTGACTAGCACAGACATAGGCATCTGTACAAGTTTGGTGAATTCTTCTCTCCACCTCTTTTTCTTTACTGTAGCCTGACTTTCTTTGGCCTTTCTCTTATTACTTATTCCCTACTGTTTTTATTACAAGGTGGTGTTCCTCTTGTATAGTTCCACTTTTCACATTCACTGCACAATTTGTGATTTTTTTTTTTTTTTTGATGATTCAGCCAATCTAGAAGTGATTAGTTAAGGAAATGCAGTCTTGGGTTTAAACAATGCTTATGGAGATTGTAGAAGATAATAGTGATAGCTGTGATGAATTGATGCCAAGACAGAAGGGCAGTGGAGAAAAAAACTGCAGAGGTTTCTTTCTCAATTTGTGCATAATGTATGGAATACACCTCTTCTATGAGCAGAGTCAGATACAAAAGACAAGAAACTAACTTGTCGGGGGTCTCACTTTTTCTTTATGCTTTATTCCGTGATGGAAGAAGCAGAGTCAGTCAAGATAACTGAACGGAGCCTATGGAATTATATGCTCATGTCATATGCTCCATTACAATGAAGCACTGACAACATCGTCAAACTTAAATTGTAAAGGCAGCTGACATGCAAGCAGTGCAAAGTGCCATTTGAAATACGTTTGCATTAGATAATCTTTTTGGTTATGAATTTTTAAGAAAATGCAATGATTACTCCTGGGTTTAAAAAAGCATTCCAGATCTGTCATGCATCCCATGTCATATCCCAAAGAGCAGCTTCATATTCAATGTCTTGTCTGCTAAAACCAGAGCACAGGGGGATGGCTACGAGTGTTTCCACTGCAAAGCTCTTACCTTACATTGTGATGGCACAGAAGAGAATATCAGGATGTTAATGCAGCGTATCTGGGAAATACATTTTTCGGGTACTTTAAGATGTTAGCCAATACTACTTTTATTTAGTCCATCAAACTATCATTACTTAAGATGCAAAAAAGTGAACTAGACTCTTTTCTTTCTCAAAACCCTGCTGTTTAGAGCTTTCTGTTGCAGGATTTAATTTTGAGATTCTGTAAGGATGGTCACTTTGGCTCTAGATCTGAAGTCCTATGTGGCACATCATTGACATCTACAATACTGTTTTACAAAAGACTACTACATGCAGAAGAAGGGGGGGGAAGTAGAGGTGTTATGCACTGTCTACTAGATGCACAATATGCTTTCTATGATAAAATAACAGATTAATGGTTAAGAGAAGAACAGTAGTTGTAATTTACTTTTGAAAAATCTCTACCTCTGTCCTTTAAAGATGAGAAGATTCACCATATATAAATATGCTATTTGTATTTAATCAAGCAGAAGTATAAGTGGGTACCACTCTGTATGCACTCTCTTGCTCTTTCATATTGCAGAAAGAAAACTGATTAAGATGTGATAACATGCCAACAACACACTCAATGTTCTCTATCAGATTTTCATAATATTTCTGTAAATATTGTGTGGTAAGCTGGCCTTTAAGCTGAATCAGTTTTGGCATCTGCAGTGCTACTCAAAATGGGATACTAGATAGTGTGAGCTTTGTAGCGACAAGCTATATGGGTAAACCAATTTTTTGTATTTAATATCTCAATTTATTGTGGTAGGCATAGCTTTTGTTTGAATGTGTATTTTACTTTGAGTCCACATTATTATCTTCAATGTGATGTGCAGCTATTGATTTTGTCAAACAGGCAGTAACTGAAATCCTATTAGGAAGAAGTATGATAATGTGTAGCATGTGTGCAGTGAGGAATGAATGTTGTACACAGATTTCCATCAGTGTAATGATGCATAGGAATTGCATGTCCAGCAGAGACGTCAAGTGCATTTATGCTAAAATAGACAAAAAAAAAGCATATAGATTATGAAATCTAGGGACACCAAGCAAATCCAGAAGGATGTTCAGCAGTACCAGTTCTTTGTGATTTGAGTGAATCCTATGAGAGGAAGCTCAGACTGTCAGGATGAAACCCTTTGATGAAGGAATGTTTGCTTAACATTAAGACTAGAAGTACATATTTTTTCCTGCTTTAAGTGAAGGGTTTTGCTCAGATTAAGTAATATGCCAGCTGCATTCCTGGCACACAAAAACCAATGAGATATTTTGCATAACATAGACAAAATACAGAAAAACAGCCTTCTTATTGCCTGTGATGTTAGCACTGTCTTTCAAACCTGGAAAGTGCCACCTTATAAGCAAAAGTAATACTGCAAATGTAACTGCAGGATGCCACAATGCTGCTTTTTCTTCTGAGGAGATGGGTTTTTCTTTACACTCCCAGAACAATTTGCATTTTTCTATTGTTTGATTGGGTTAATTGGTATGTTTACAACTGTTGCAGATTGTAGTGTCTCCTAAGGCTAATCTTGAGATAATGTATTTATTAAATGCTAAAAGATAAAGATAAGACATCAGTGCACTGTTTCTTGCTATCAGTAACCTGTGACAATAGACCAGGATTGGGGTGTCAACATTGGTACCTCCTGCTGAGTGTAATGAAGGGAGAGGGTCTGTGCAGTTTAGCCATGAAAAGTCATGGTGGTGTTATTCAGAAGCAACTTGGGCTTTTATTGAAAATCCCACTTTAACTCTGGTTAGCTTGTATGTATTATTACTAGCATATATTAATTGCTGCAAGCACACAAGCACACAAGTTGTTTTTCCACAGAAGAACTGTTCTTTCCCATCTTACAGTTTGTGCTTACATTAACCATGATTAACAGTCCTCCAGACGTGGGAATGAGTGTACAGGAAGGAAGGAAGGGAAGGTAATACTGCCAGCTTGCACAATTGTGCTGGAAACAGGACGACATTTAAGAAAACTGTGGCACTGCCCTCATATTTTCCTGCGTGGAGTGGCAGAAAAATCTGTCCCTCTCAGTGGGGCAGCATCAAGGAGTAGAAAAAAGGTCCTTGTACCTTGCAAGGACAGCAAAAAAAGCTCCCTGGTCCTTGCCACAAGGGAAGGAAGGATGCAAGTAGAGGAAGGATGTATGACTGCCTTCTGGCACATGTAGAGTGTACTGCTGGGTGGCTGCAGAGTACCCAGTCAGCAGATGCTGGAGTTACCAGTGAACTGAGGTGTACTGAGACATCTCTGCAGTCTGTCTTTCTGCTCAGAATAAAATAGCATTAAATATTCTCATTTCGCATTTTCAAACTTTTCTTCAGAGTTGTGAGAGTGGACTGTTGGCAGTTGTTAGCAATTGTATTACTTCAGGGATCCTTCCTGGACCTAATTCTGGTCATACCACATGTCTTGTGAATGATGTTTTAAATTTCACCTGCTCTCAGAAACTGGATGTCAAAAATCCCACTGCGGAATAGCCTTGAGCTTTGCATAGGTGTGTTAGACAAGATGGGTAGTGTGCAGTATGGGAGACTTTGTACAGAGACGTAAGACAATCCCTAGAAAAATGCCTGGAATGTCCCACAAGTTTTTTTTAATACTAAAGACGGGCTGTCTTGGGAAAATGAAGGAAATGGGAACAAGTCGAGAGGTGTAGAGAAGACTCTGATGGCGTGGACGGAGCAGAGGAAGGGAAGAACTGAGGCATATGCATGAGAGAGTGTCTGGGGTGCTGTAGGTCAAGTGCAGGGCACTTGAAGCAGCTGCAGTGGGACAGACGATGGCAGTGAGAAAGTATAAAGCATAAAATAATGCATAATACAGAATTTTACTGATAGAAAAAGGAACAGACCAACAGAGAGAAGTGGATGTAGAGTTGATCTGACTAAAGTGACAGTGGCTGGTCATGTAGCACTTATAGGTAAAATATGAAGAATGCAGAGACAAGAGGCTGAGGAAGGGAGCTGGCTAGCATGGCAGGGCTGTTGCATCACAGGCTAGTGAGAAAACCTGTAAATCTGGAAATCAGATAGCTCTTACTTCTGCATGTTCATCTCAAGCTAAATTTTGGCCCTGAAATGCTCAGCCATGCTATTAGGAGAGGTTGTTTCCTCCTGAACACTTCAAAAAGCAAATGTCAGTTATATACATGAACTTCAGCCAAACCTTAGTATGGAGAACTTACTTATCCTGGAGTCACACAATAAATCCAGCATTACAGTGTGCTCAGCAGCGGCAAAGCAAACATTTGACAAGGGAAGGAAGAAGCTTTAAGTGTATGCTTGTGAAAGAGATATGCTGTGCAAATAAATTACAGTTTGGGCTACTGAATTGTCCCCTCCCTAAGGACTGCGTAGTATTTACATGAAATTAAAGTTTAAAAAAAAAAAAATCCCAGTTGAAAAGAAAATAGATTTGCTAGGAAAAGTGACTATAATTTCAAAATTGATCTAAGTATCTGTGTAATTTGATGAGCAGTTGACTGCTCCAAATGTGTGATAGCTTGTATCTTACCAGTGTTGCATTTTGTTTTGTTTGCCTGTGCCAGTAACTATAACCATCCTTTGCTTTCCTGGTGTTTTAGGTACAGAGAGAACTGGCTGCTGTCATTGCTTTGAAAGCAAGGAAGTCAGGTGAGTCAGGCTGGACTTTAAAGCGGGTTTTGTAACGTTGTTCCCTTTTGTCATTTATTGAAGTATTTGAATTATCATTGCTGTCTTATTAACATGGGGAAGCAAAGATAGCAGACCTCGGTCCTTTCTCGGAGGAGGATCCGTGTATAGAGAACAATGCAATTACTGTCAAGCCTCGCTTCCCCTAGCTCGTCACATCTAATGACCTAGCTGATAAAATCAGAGTATTACAGTTGAATGTGAACTTGGGTCTCTTTCTGGCCAACATCACTATTTTCTCTGGGCTTGCAATTTATAAAAGAAACTTACGTGTTTATTTGACTTACATTTTAGACAAATCAAGTTGATAGTTTAATCTATGTTTTCTTTTATGGTCTGGTATCTCACGCCATCTTTGCTGTGTTTTACCCGCTCAGTCAGGTGTATTTGTTTATGCTAAAGCAAAAGGCCAACTTCATGCGTGAGGGAGGGTGGTCTTTCCTGACCACTGCTCTAGTCCATCCAGATGGCTGTAGAGGCAAGTCTCTGTTATCAGGGCAGTAGAAGGGGAAAGGCAAATGGATAAATGAAAATCTCTGACAGTGTGTTACAGTGAACGCTGGTGATACGGTGTGAAGGCACTGAAATACGTGGTCATCCCGGCTCTGTCAGGGTTTGGTAGCACAGCCACTTTCAGAAGGTTTCTGCATCGCTGAGCTGGAGTGGAAGCAAAGGAGCTGTGTTTCCTGGGCACTGCACAGGAACTAACACCACCTGCTTGACCAGACCTGGCTCTAGACCTGGTTAACTCTCTGGTGTCTTCACGTACAGGGCAGTTAATCCGCAGCCAGGGCAAACTGCCTTTGGCAAAGTGAGAGTGGAATGCATTTCTGGAGTCAAACAGAGGTGGAGTTTACTTTAATCACTGGTGTGTTCCCAAAGCCATTTAAGGTCTTTGAGAATGAGCATTTTTTACTGAGCATCTATTGTGACCTTCAGTTATTTTGCTAGAAAGTGAGATCATGGATCTTGCATTTTTTTTTAGCCATTTTCTAACCTATTAATAATATTGTGTCATAATATCTGGATCTGTGTATCTATTTGTGACTTACAAGTACAGCACAAAAGTTATCACACACAACATGTGCACTACACACAACATTATATCTTAAACCGGACATGCCAGAAGACATGGCTGGCATATCTACAAATATTTCCTTGTGAAAATGTAACTATTAGAAAAATATTCTAGACACAGTTTGATGCATTTTTGTCTGGAAATAGAAGTATCCTTAGGTTATGTCCACAGTCATCTGTAAATGTAAATCTGCAGAAAGTAAACACAAATCTAAATGTGAATTCAGGCCTAAATTGCTTCTGTGTAATAGCTTTGCCTCTGAAACTGCTGTAGTATTTTATGATGTTAACACTCCTCCACTGCTTGCCCTTACCTGGTATCACCCCAGTCCCTCTTGAATTCTAATAACTGAACATGGAAATGCTTCTGCTCTGGTTCAGTGCAGAGAAAAACAGGTTATTTTAAAGAAGTACTGAAGGTAATAACTTGTTTTGCTGTAAAATGGGCCAAGAGTATCGTGCCATGTACCTTTTTACTTAGTGCTTATACAGTTCTAAGAAATCTCTTCTTTCCCTGCTTCTTGGCAGTTGTGTCAGTAAACATTATTCCTGCTACTGGTAATAAATAAAAACTCCATTCCCCAAAAGAGTTGATTTTAACCTGAATTAGCCTCTCATTTCCTTTTGGTGGATGGCTACATAAACGGTTGTGTCAGTAGAAGATGGGATGGGGGTTGGATTAGGAATGTTTTTTAGGAGGATAGCTCTTGGAGTCTTCTTTCTATAGTGTAATTGCAACCCACATTGAGCAGGTAGAAATATTTTAGTTCACAATTACAGCCTTAAATAAACAAAGCTTCCTATAGAGCTTTGAAGTGCTGACCAGCCTGAATGTAAACACTTATAATATCAGTTTAGACCTGAACAAAAGATACCTCTTTAGTCAGTTTAACTAGTGCGTGCTTGTTGTTGAAATTTGCATTTCTTTATGCCTCATCTTGGATGACTGTAAGAAATGGCTACATGATCAGGCATAACTGTAAGGTCCAATTTAAGTTAATGCCTTTACTACAGTAGGAGCAGAGTAAATTAGGGTGGTTGATTATGCTTTTTTATTTTATTGCTGATGGTTAAATTCACAGCGTAGCAGTTACTATTGGCAATCAAGCTATGGTATGCTGTGCCTGGTGAAGCGAAGCATATTTCAGAGAAAGTACTTCTAGAGCTAAAAGCCACAGTATCTTTCACAGATATTGTTCTTCTAACCCTCTCCAAGACTCCATAGAATTCCAGGAAATAAACCAACGAAGATCAGACAAAGGGTTTATTTTGGCATGAAAAGAGTGGAACATGGTTGTTGGGCCAGCTGCCCTGGGTGGCTTCCAGGCTGGAGTGAACGGCGTGGGCGCCTGCCTCATCCGCCCTGGGATTCATGAGTGGGGAGTGCAGGCGATGGGGGCACGGTCCTAACCTGCTGGCTGGAACCTGCCTGCCGTGGGTAATTGGTTCATTAACCAAAAGGTTTCCTAGAGATCGACAGCACAAAATCCGAAGCTGCTATGCAGAAATTCCTGTACTGTTTCTGGTGGTTTGGTGGTTTTTAAATTACAGTATTTCAAAATATTTCCTCTAGATAGCTGGTTAGCACTACCAGTAAGAGAAAAAAAAAAAAAAAAAAGAATATTTTTGCTTAATGCAAGGATTGTGTAATGTGTTCCTGAATTATTACTTTAATTTCTGGATATACCTCTGCCGTTAGAGGGGCACTTCACAGTGATTTAATTGTACTAGAAAAACTGGCTGATTGAAGCTTTTATATTACCTGTCTAGGACTGTTGTAGTAATCACTGGGTTACATTGCACGACCAGTGCTGTACAAGCACACAAACACCACAGCTCCCTCTGCGAGAGGTGAAGAGGGTCCAACTAGGAAGGTTTGCTATGCTTGGAGAGGGGGGAAACATCGCCTTTGGTTGCCCAAGTGAAACTGTTTGTTTTTGTTTAAATGAAACTTGGGTTTGCTACCTAGTATGTGTTGTATATGAGAAGTAGTAATTACTACTATCTCAGTTCGTGGGCCGGAATGGCTGTTTCAGAGATTTAGACACTGTATCTACTGAGAAAATGCTTTGAAAACCAAGGTAGAGACTGAGCCTGCTGTGGGGTAGGGCAGAGTATCAATTTCTTGCTAGTACAGGATCTGACTTGATGGAGAATCCTGGCTACCAGAAAATAAAAAGTCAGTAGGATGTGGGGGAGAATGACTTTTCCCCAAGAGGTGTTCTTCTGTTTTTACTCTGGGGTGGAGGAATAGGGGAAACACATAAAACTGACAGATGGCTGAAGGAAAAATGCAGAACCTGAAAAATGAGAAATTTCTGCGCAGTGGAAAAAAGCTCCATTTTCATGTTTCAGATGTGTGCTGCAAGTATACCACTCCAATAGCACGGCATAAGCCGATAGAGAGGTACTTGAGAGCCCTCATGCAGAGAGAGCTCAGCATTTTTAGCTTCTTTGCAAATAAAAGTTAAAAAAAATGGTAAAATTAATGTCTGTAATCCTGAGGCTTTGATGGACCTCAGCAACGCTGTTGACTAGAAAGCACTTTTATATTTCATTAGAATAAAGCTCTCATGATATAAAGGCGACCTAAGAGACGGAAATGAGCTTGTGCACTTCTCTGTGGCTTATAAAAATGTATTGAAACTGTTCTTGCTTAACCCTAGAAATAAATAGATTAAACACTATCTTCCCTGGCTTGGTAAAAAGTCTTGGGGAAGCATGTAACTGGAGCAGAAGAGAACTTTGTAATTGTAGGCACTTGGCATTGGAATTGTTTGTTTACACCTTGGTGGCTTCTGATGGCTTCCACAAATGTGCTGAAACATAACAGAAATGCAGCTTCTCCTCTGAAGGTTTACAAGGGTTGGCATTTATCTCAATTGCTTGTCAGGGCTCATGACATGTTTCTTATGTGTTAGAGATGGTAGCTAAAACAAGGATAAAAAGCAGCAAATAGCCTAAGGCTGGAGGCTTTAGCCGGTGGCGTAGCTACACGGGCACATCTGAACTGATCAAAATCTGTCAGGTAGATGCTCTGAACTGCTGTTAATCCCATCCACAAACACGACACCTTACATTTCTGTGCATGAACCTAGCTGCACCCTGTGGCATCACCCAGCAAATTCCTTTATATCTAAAGGGGTTTCTATAACTTTATTCATGCAAAGGGACATTAGTAAGAGCATGGCTTTGGGCCTGGTGTTTCTGAATATAGGGGCTAATTAAGATAACAGCTGACAGAGTATCGATGCGGTAGGAAGAGAGCGACAGCAGCTTCTCCCCAAGCGTCGCGGGAGCAGCGGCGGGGCTGTGGGTGCTTCTCCCTCCCACTGCGAAGGGCAGGGCAGCCACAAAAGCCCTAGCACTTGTGTGTGGTTTTGCTCCATCTCAAGAATGATATTCAGGTTTCCACAATAGAGTTAGATACTTTTTAGTCGTGCCATTCTTAAATTGACAAGCTCTATTGATTTTTTTTTAAAAAAACTCATTTACATTTTATTTATAATAATATGACTTTTGCAACATATTAACTTTATATCTGAGACCTTTTGGAAGACCTCCACCCTATTCTGACATATACGTATGCATGCCCACCCTTCCCCTTTTCTTTTGTATTGCTTCTGTCAGGACTTAACTGCCTATGCGATTTGCTTAGTATTTTTATTTTAGGCAGACGATTCAATATGAAGCAGTCGCTGGGGCTTGAGCTTTTCCGACATGAATGAAAAGCAAGCTGTGAACAGCTATTCCTTTTCCCAGCCGCTGCGCCACCTCTACAGCACTGCTGTCAGAGGTGATTGCGTGACTCGGCTCTAACACACTCCAGGCAATGTCAGCCCGGTTAAAAACATGAGAACAGCCAGGCTGGGTCAGGTTAAAAG